AAATTGAGGGGGCGATTGTGAGTGCTCACCCCCACCTTCATGTTCATCTGCATCATCCTCTTCGTCACTTCCACTTTCATCTTCATCTTCATCTTCATAATGGAATATGCCCCGGCGGAGCATCTCTTCATCACCTACGTCCAGGGCCATCCGCTGTAGTCGTTTTTGACAGTCCTCATGACTTGCGCGGTCGGCTAAGAGCTGATTCAGCTCGTAAAAGCTCTGCCTCTGCATAAAAATGTAACACGTGTAAATAATATGACATGATATATGTTAATGAATATAGTATGTATTCAAAAACTTACCACAATACCCCAATCGTGTGATGTCGGGATGTAGCCTGTCGTGGGCACATTGTGAGAAAGGTTCTGGACACGTGTCATACCATGCTTCTGGTACCATTTTCGGTACCTCTTAGTTGCTTCGACGGACATATGTCGATCATAATCAAGAAAGTATATATTATGGTGTATGTCCGCCCACAACGCCAAGGCACCGGTTACTATGTTGGAACGATTGCCGTGATGATCAGTACCCGCCAAAGGAGCATCCGGAGTATCTTGCCTTATATGGAACTGCCGAAGAAATCGATCGGGGTAATGCATTTCGGCCATATTGCAAAATATGAGCATGACCCTAGCCGACCAAAGCGGAGCGTCATTAAGGATGATAGGTGGGAGTTCCTCGGACGTGTAGGGAGTGAAATCAAACTGTAAAAATTTTAATTTGCAATTTAACCACTATAAAACAATGTGTATTAAAAATTGAATAGTACGGTGGAAGTAAAAATTTGAAGTACTACCTGACTCTCACTCATTCGGTCTAGGTCATCCCGGTACAGGCGTATGCAGTGTCTTGGGGATCCCTTATATGACTTGGGGACGATCCACCTACATTTATTTATTACCGAAATGAATTTAAAAACTCTAACGTCATATAACGCATTCTCAATTATTAAGATGTAATTGCCAACATACCTGCACCCATATGGAAGATGGTCATGTTGAATGACCTGAACTACTGATGGACGGACCATCGAAATCCTCGACCAAGCCCAAATCTGTAACAAGTGCATACAACCGCCAACTTGTTTGGTTTCCCACTTGGCGTCGTTGCACAAGTTATGGTAGAGGTACCCGAGAACCGCTGATCCTCAACTCCATCGACGGGCTAAAGCCAAGTCACCCTGCAAGACCTCCAAAAAGTATAATCGTATTCTCGTCCCACTCGTGTCAGGGAACAAAAGGCCTCCAAGCAATTGCCATATTAGGGTTCTGGTGTGTTCGGTGACCTCTTCGTCTGTACTGTCAGGTAGGATCTGGTGACGGGTAAGAGCACTCATGGTGATATCACCCGTGCGCATATCAGTCTCTAGAGGAGTAAAACCACACGACTGCGTGCACAGGTCGATCCACTGAGCCTTACCCTTAACGGTTGGACCACTGAGGGGCATACCCCGAATGGGCAAACCAAGGATCATCGCCACATCTTGTAGACTAATGCCGACCTCACCGAATGGAAGATGGAAAGTATGTGTCTCCGGCCTCCATCTCTCCACCAAAGCGCATATTAAACTATGATCCACCTTCATACGGGCAATGTGCTCTACCCCCAAGAAGCCAGCATATGCTAGCATACCTATCACTCTTGGATCTCGCTCTTCAACTCCGAATGCAGCTGAAGGGCAACTGACGCATTTCAAGCACGAGTCTTTGGAATTCGGTTCATACCATATACGGTCCGCACGATGGGCACGCAGTGGCAACGTGAGTAGTGAACGGTTAACAGGCCCTGGGCGCGGAATGTTTTGCTCCATTTGAAATTCCTAAAATAAGTAGTTATAAATTACTAAATTCGAAATTTAACACAAATTCTAAATGTAACATAATTTTTAAATTTGTAGATATTTATAGCTAAATTGAACTCTAAAATTCTAATTTCACAACCTAACACAAAAAAATAAAAAATTACTAAAGTAACAACTTGTAACGTCATAAAATCGAATTTTAACTCAAATTCTAAATGTAACACAATTTCTAAATTTCTATATTTTTATAGCTAAGTACAACTCTAAACTTCCGATTTCACAATGTAGAGTAAAATTCTAAATTCACAATCTAAATTAAAATCTTAAAAGTTACCAAAATAACTAGTAATTTTGAAATTCGAAATAACTATAATTGCGAAATTAAAATCTTAAATTCGACTATTTAAATTAAAGAGTAAAATTTGAATTTCACAATGTAAATTAAAAAATTTACAAATTACTAAATTAACTACTTCTACAATCCTAAAACCGAAATTTAAGGGAAATTCTAAATGTTACACACTTTCTAACTTTCAAGTATTTTATAGCTAAATGTTACTCTAAAAGTCCAATTTCACAATCTAAATTAAAAAATTTATAAATTACTAAATTAACTAGCTTTTTATAGCTAAGTACAACTCTAAACTTTCGATTTCACAATGTAGAGTAAAATTCTAAATTCACAATCTAAATTAAAATCTTAAAAGTTACCAAAATAACTAGTAATTTTGAAATTCGAAATAACTATAATTGCGAAATTAAAATCTTAAATTCGACTATTTAAATTTAACGCAATTTCTAAACATCTACAATTTCAACTATTATAAATAATAAAAAGTTAAAATTAAAGAGTAAAATTCGAATTTCACAATGTAAATTAAAAAATTTACAAATTACTAAATTAACTACTTCTACATTCCTAAAACCGAAATTTAAGGGAAATTCTAAATGTTACACACTTTCTAACTTTCAAGTATTTTATAGCTAAATGTTACTCTAAAAGTCCAATTTCACAATCTAAATTAAAAAATTTATAAATTACTAAATTAACTACTTCTACACTTTTAAAACCGAAAATTAACTAACCTGGAAATTTGGCAGATCACAAATTTTGATTTGCTAGTAGGTGCTCTTGCTTGGGATTAAGTGGGGATTCTTGATCCAACTGGCTAGGCTCTTGCTCTATTTATATAAAAACAAATTGGTTGGGAGTTTTTGATCCATTAAATTAAATAAAAGTTGGTGTTGTAATTAGTGGTCCACACTTCTCCACATATACCTTTTTCCTTGTAGTCGGAAGCACCAAATCCGACTGGAGGTATCACCTAAAACAATTTTTTAAAATTTTTATTGTAGTCGGAAGCACCAAATCCGACTGGAGGTATCAGCTTACCGCCGTCCGATTACGATCCAAGCCCCTCCTCTCTTTTGATAACAGCCGTGCGATAGGGATCCGAGCCCTTATTGTGTTTCTTTGGTGGTTTAGAGTTTATTTTTTGTACAAATGTGGAATAAATATGGAATTATCTGATTTTGATCTGATTGAACTTATCTGATTATATTTATCTGATTAAATTTTATCTAATTGAACTTATCTGATTATATTTATCTCATTAAATTTTATCTGATTGAACTCATCTGATTATATATATATATGATTACATTTTATGTAATTAAATTTATCTGATTATATTTATCTGATTAAATTTTATTTGACTGAACTTATCTGATTATAGTTATCTGATTAAACTTTATCTAATTATAGTACATTAGTACGTACTGGTTAGCTTTTTTAATATGTTATTAAATGAAGTAGTGCGAGTGAGGTTTGATCAAATAAGCAATGTGGAAAAAATTCAATAACTACAACAAAGAGAACAAATATTTCATTAGTTCAAAAAACCCAACAAGGTATACATTACAATACTCCCTCCGTCCCTTAAAACTTTGTCATATTTCCTTTTCGGGATGTTCCAAAAAACTTTGTCACTTTCCTTTTTAATCAATTATTTTGTGGTTTCTGTTATTTCTCCCACCTCTGCACAAATCTCAACCACACAGTTTTTACTTTATTATTTTCCGTACCGGTCAACTTTAGCAAAGTTTTAAGGGACGGAGGTAGTATTACTCATGTCCTCTCCTTGTAGCACGCAAATCCATTTCATTAGGAAATCGAGTTCTCTGTGGCCTACCGGCTCTAGCCGATCTATTGTTTGGGGGCGGGAGAAGTGTATGCGATGTTTCTGCCATGACATTGAGGTAATTATTAATAGGCATAATATCGGAAGCGTACGTTCGGATGTAAGCATTTAAGGAATACACAGCTGGGATGAGGCTGTCTACGGTTATTTTTAAAAACCGACAAACCGCATACGCGTGAACACATGGCATCCCGTTCTGCTTCCAATACTCACACCCACATTCCTGCCTTGTCAGATCGATTGTCACTGGATCATGCGAACCAATAGCTATAGAGTAAATTCCCGTTGTTCGATTGTGCGGGACAATAGTTGTGTGATACCTACGCTGTGACCGCTCAAGAACATCCTTCCATATGTTCTGTGGATACAAGAATCCAGCTTGGTGCCACATTATTCCCGCATTTCGTCGATCGGCAAATAGTTGGACGACTTTATCGAATGTGGCCTTTACTAGTGCTGTGATAGGCAATGTGCGGCATCCCTTTAAGACATTGTTAAAACTTTCAGAAAGGTTTGTCGTCAAAATGCCATATCTTTTGCCATCGTCATAGCTCAGGGCCCACATCTCAACAGGAATCTCATTCAAATATAGAAAAGCACTCTCATTTATGTCTCGTATTTGTTACATACAGTCGTGAAATTCCTGTTCTGTGGGAGTGCTACCAGCTTGCCAACATAATTTTTTCAGTTCCGCATTCCTAAACTTGGTCATGAAATTACTCCGTATGTGACGGAGGCAATAACGCTTTGAAACTTGTGGCGATCTCAACTCTGGCAAGGCTCTAAATGCACTTTCAATTCCTGCATGACGATCAGAGATAATGCACACACTACGGTGATTTCCAACCACATCACGCATAACCCTTGCAAAGAACCACGACCAGCTGTCAGCATTCTCACTCTCAACAACAGCATATGCAAGAGGAAATATCTCACGGTTAGCATTCATGGCTACCGCAACTAGAAGAACTCCCTTGTATTTGCCATATAAGTGAGTGCCATCAACCGAGACTACGGGTAAGCAAAATCTAAAACCGTCTATAGAAGCCTTGAATGACCAGAACACTCGGCGGAATTCAGACGTATCAGGAGTGCCGGCCTGTTGTGATTGCAAATGAACAACAGTCCCCGGATTTGAAAACTGTATAGATTCCAACAACATAGGAAGTTCATTATATGATGCCTCCCAATTGCCGAATTTACGCTCCAGAGCGATCAAGCGTCCATTCCAAGCTTTTTTATATGAAACACGGATATTAAAATTTTCATATATGTCTGACATTATCAGTTTAATGCTGTAGTCCGGGTCGACTTTCACTTTTGGAGCGATTTCACTGGCTATAATTTTGGCCGTTAGGAGCCTGTCATCCCGAGCCATGACAGGATCCTCCCTACAACTGTGATGGGGTTGATATTTTTTTACTTTCCACTTTTTTGACGTCATACCTTCTCCTGCTTGGATATGCCAAGTGCAAAGGGTCGGGTCTATGCAAACCGCCTTCCAGGACCGTGGCCTTTTGTCAACCGTTCTGAATTGACGAAATTGACGAATGTTTTCTCTCGCCACCGCTTCTTTCAGTGCATCATATGAACAGTAAACTGCGCCTACTTCGATCCTTTCAGGCTCAGAATCTAATGCTTGAACATATGGTTCTTCTAGCTCCACATTAGCCCAGGTGGTGTCTACTACGTCGTCACTATCGTCGCTCGTGGATGAATCGACATCACTACTAAAACCTTGTTCATAGTCTGGGTCGTCCGACTCTTCACCCAAGTTTGTGACTGTACAAAGTAGATACATTCATAAATTTCAATATTATTATTTGGGACAAATTATTAATTTAACACAATTCTTGAATTTCTAGAATTGAACACAATTCCTTGTAACACACTATCTAAAATAAAATAAAATTATGGTTTGAATTTTTTGGTTTTAATTTATCGGAATATATAAAATTTTTAAGTTATTTGAAGTATAAAATCTTTTTGTGCTCTGGTCGGATTTGGGTGTTCCGACAGGAGTTTTGAAATTTTATGCGCCGTATGCAAATTTTAAGTTTATTTGAATAATAAAAACTTTTGTGCTCTCGTCGGATTTGGGTGTTCCGACAGGAGATAAAATAAAATAAATTTTTTTTAAATTCCACTTCCACTTCCGGTTATTTCATTTATTTGAACTAGAATGTGTTTCTTGTGTAATTAGATAGAAGTATTGAATTTGTGCAGATGAAACAGACAGATAGCCAATTTTTACTCTGAAATTCCTATTTAACAATCAAAATTAAAAAATTTACAAATTACTAAATTAACTACTTCTACACTCTTAAAATGACAACAAATAAAACCAAATCATTGTAAATTCTATTTAACTTGAACAACACATACCAGGAGATTCGTAGTTCTGAAACGTTTGGCGGTTGTTCCTCCGACCATATACGGATGATGGGCCTTCCTCTCTGGGAGTTCCGTGGAACGTCAAAGTTTGTGGCGGGGTCGCTGAAGCTTCCACGTAAATGTGCAACTCCTCATACTCATTTTTAGCGATCCGGAAAAAATGACGCCATGTCTGCTCATCGTGAATGGGCCATAGTCTAGAAGCAACATATAGAGAATTCTTATATTTTGGCAATTTTCCGTAAATTAATTTAATTTCGGAAAATCCGTCGCCTCTAACATGATTTAGAACATTCTCATGTATAGTAGTATAATCATCTGCTTCACTAATGAATAGTACCGCCCTAGGAGGTATGGAGTACTCTATTTCATCATCTTTTTGAGATGTAGAGCCATTCCAATGAACCATAACAACAATATTCCCCTCACTAGACATTTTTATATAAGAGAAGAATGCCTAAACAGAAAATGTAATAAATATATCAAGAGAGAAAGAAGGATTATTTTTGGAGTGAAAATTTTGAAAAGAAATGAACTCATTTTATAGGAGCTGTTGGGGTACGAGTTGGTAGAATAAATGGATATAGATAAAACACGTAGTGCGAAAATAAAACGAGTTGGTTGGTAAAATGTTGGAACCACAATTAAACACGTCATTTTTTTAAAAAAATATCAAAATACCCTAGTCGGATTTCCCAATTCCGACTAGGTTTTTAATAAATTTTATCCGCTTTAAATTTTATAGGTTTTTTTTAAAAAAAAAATCAAAAATACCCTAGTCGGATTCCCCAATTCCGACTAGGTTTTTTTAATTAAATTGGCACTTACCTCTAGTCGGATTGCCCAATTCCGACTAGGGTTTCAACCCTAATTTCGGACTTCCCCTCCAGTCGGAATTGCCAATTCCGACTACCGTAATTTGGTAACCTAAAAGGAACTCCCGTATTTTGGCTTGTCAGACGGGAGATTCCCGTATTTTGGTAATTTTCTCAGCTTTTGTTGCCCCAGTCAAATTGGGCCATGATCGAAGAGTTTAAGTGGTTAACAATTTGAGCCACATTTGAAAGATAAGTACCATGACAATTTCATCAAAACAATTAATGTGGGATTATATGATTAAAAAAATCATAAATTGAAGCACTTTAAAAAAATTAAGTGGTATAATTGTTTTCTCTTATTAAGCGTGTGTAATTTTAACATTAAAAAACAGACTTGTGAAATCTGATCACTCACATGTACATCGGGCGAGCACACACACTCGCGCCATTGGGTCACGTCATATGGGTGTGATGATCAATAAGTTCCAATATAAATGTTAATACTGCACACTATTGATTTCATACGAGTTCTTGTGTGCTCTTACCTTTTCCTAATGCATCACATTCTGACCTCGGGGGACGAGTCATTCGTTCAAAGTTTTCACTTGCGGGTTCGAACTACTAACCTCGGGAGGCAAGTTAAGCTCTTATTATGGGCCTAGAGCCACGCTGTTTCGAGCAATTTTGTCATTTAATTAACATTCACATTTCTCGAAAAGGCTGATATACTTTAGTTCCTTGGAGATTGGATTAACTGTTTTGAAGAACCGCTTGCGGATTCAATCATTCTTTCGGAGACTGGGTTGAGGCCTAACTTGGAAACTTGATGCCACTCTTTTCTAGTGGTGAGTCTGACTCACTTACTCGCTATGCCGTTGTTCGGTACGAAGGCCAAGTACCATATTCTACACTTGTTGCTTTTATGTGTAGGTACGAATGAACAAAGACGACTCTACTTCACTCACCTCAAGGAGTGTGGGATTGAGTAACTTACCGTCTTCAATGAAGCAAATGACGAGCCTGACGAGAAGAACGGTTCTAGCCATCCTCTTCACAGCTGGCGACCGTTGCAATAAAGGTTGATGATTTCACCTCTTACTTCATCTTGGGGGCGTCAGGTGTACTCTTTTTCCCTTCATTGGGATTTTTCCCATTGGAGTTTTCCTAATGAAGGTTTTTAATGAGGCATCTCCCCGACATGGACAAGAGCGGAGATCTTCTAGTCTCGGAGAAGAGCAATTGACTTGGACTACTCCCTCTTAGCCGAGCCTACTACTCGACTAAGGAAGTGGGGGACTCGTGATGGAGTTATGGAACTAGGCCCAGAGCCTAATACGACCAAATCCCAAACTTGGACCCTTTAGTCCAAGCCCATGACTTGAGCCAGCAGGCCCAAGCCCAAGCCCAAGACTGGGGTCTGCTTACTAGCCCAGCCAAGAGCCTGCTTGCCCGGCCGACCTGTCAGCCAGGAAGAGTAACAATGAAGCAATTAATGTGTTGTTTAATTATGTATTTAATTCCGTATTAATGTTGTGATTATATAGTCATTATTATTGATGGCTATTACGATTTGTAACCGTATTTTAAAGGCAAGTCGAATTCCAAATGAAGAGATGTTATTTTTGGCAACTAAAGTTCTTTTGCAACTTTCCATTTCCGTACTACTTTCATAATTCCTGCTTGAGTGTCTAACGCACCTTTCCAAATAGCCTATGAGCATCCTATTTTTTTACCAACAACAGGCTAAATATAGAATAACTAACGTTTCAAGTATAAGACCCAAATATAGGGTGATACATACACTTATACCCCCCCATATTTAAATATGAGTATATACACTTGGAAAATACATGATCCTTAGGTCATTGTTTATTTGGGAAATCATATTAGTCATATTCCTTGACTTATAAAAACCCAAACCCACTCAAAATATCCCTGAGTATATAGGTCTTCTCCTTGTTCAATCAAGCACCTTAAGGACACCACATGGTCCTATGTTACTAGATCGTAATCTACGAGTTTTGAGGACAATCCAGTCCTTGGGTACTTCACCAATTACATTCTGAGTTTTGAGGATAGTTCAGTCCTTGGGTACTCCAGCAATTATATATCGAGTTTTGAGAGCAGACCAATCCCTGAGTATTCCACCAATTATATACCGAGTTTTGAGGACAATCCAGTCTGTGGGTACTCCACCATATATATATATATATATATATATATATATATATATATATATATATATATATATATATAGAGAGAGAGAGAGAGAGAGTTTTGAGGACAGCTCAGTCCCTGGGTACTCCACCATTTTCTATGATCTCCCACATATCGTACTTGGATAAGGTCTATATCATATTATTACTATAACGACTAATCCAAGCCTTAGCATTTAATCATCATATATCAAATGATAAGGTGTGAAAACACCTTATATGTTCTCCTAATTCTTAGTCGTTGTGTGTCAATTTTGCAGCATTCTAGCATGTTTTTCAGGTAGTTTTGGTTTGTTTTCGATTGCAGGACTAGAATAAAAGCTCCACTTAACTTTGAGTATATTTGGAGCAAATCTGTGGGAAAAAGCAAGTTTTCATACGAGTGTGAAGAGCATTGTGGATTCAGGGAAGAAGCTGGAGCTTAAAAGAGATCGAAAGAAGAAGGAAACAGACGAGAGAGAGAAGTTTTGGACTGGACCGAGCAAAGGAAGGGCATCACGGGATGAAAAGAAGAATTCTTTGGAGTCCAGGGAGGAGGAACGCCCATTGGAACGCCCATAGGAATGCCGTTCCCCTCACCTTGCCTACGCCGCAGTTCACGCTGGAACTCACAGGTGAGGGAACGCTGGCATGGAACGTCGTTTCTCTTAGCATTCCTGCAAGAACGACGACCCTGCTCTGTTCCTCACGGCGTCGAACTCTCTTCCAGCCAATTGATTTATTTTGTAATGGAAGGAACGCCCATGGGAACGAAGTTCCTCCTGGCGTTCCCCCAACTGCAGAAACATTTAAAAACTCGAACTTTACCCTTTTTACGGATCTTTTGGCCAAATTCCGACTTTGGAGAGCTCAAGAACCCTAGTTAAGCTTGTAATCTCTTACTTTACTACTCTCTTTCACTCTTAATCATTGTTTTAGATTACAATTACATGAATTTACTCTTTAATCAATACAAATCTTAGTTCTTCTCAATTATCTTGCAATTCCCTTTAGTTATTTAATCATGCACATGTTCTTATTCTTTGCAAATCTTTTGATTTCGTCTTCAATTATGTGTGAGTAGATTGTTTAGGAGTTTGGGGTGATCATGGATCACCCCATCATGTGATCTTTGGGTTTAGATTCGTTAGGGAAATCAATCAATAAAATATGCATGCCAAGTGTTTGTGAAAATTCCTCAATGACTTTTTCTCTTAATTGATGGCCACAATTTATGTAGAAACTTGTTAGAACCCGCGAGGAGACTCGTAGGGTTTCTCTAGACACCTTCACACACACACTATCTCCTCACCACGAGAGTGGGAAGAGATAGAGGTCACGTTAGTTGGTTATGCTAAATTGTTTAGCCTAGGAAAGTCAACGGACCACGAGAGTGGCCGTTGAGTTCCCTTGGCAATCTCTTGGCTATGAGAATGGCGAGAGAACATTCACCAGGCCCTCAAATGCATGTTTGTTGATTGATCTCCCCGATAATCGTTTTCCTAGTTGATTACATGATGGGTCCTTGAGACCCCCCGCTCCCTTTTTTTTTGAGATTATTAATTTCTTTCGTTGCTTGCTATTTTTTCTAAAACCAAAACACTACTCGATCGATTAAGTTACAACTTAGACACTTAAGTCGAACTCACAGTTATTTTCCTTATACACCATCCCGAGAGACGACATCCGTGACTTTCATATCCCAACACACACACCCCTTGATACTCGTTTGCATAAAATGAGCCATCAAATATTGGCACCGTTGTCGGGGACGGTGTGAAAGTTTAGTGTGATTTTGGTTTTTGGATCTAATGAGACTAATCATTTGTTTCTTTTATTTCTTATTTCTTTGCACTTTATTTTTGTTTGTTCAGAGTCATGTGGGTGTTGTTGTCTTTGAGTGCGTGCAGGTTAGATTTGTATGCAAACTCGCTCTCAGGGTGATAAAGATCTGTTATTTGTCCCTGAGATCGAGCGACTAGCAAGAGAGAACCGACGCGCTGCACGTTTGCCACAAACCATATCAATGGCATACGGTACAACATCAGCAACCCCCGACAGAACCACATCACCACATGCCACCCAACAACCCAACAACCAAACTCTGCCCATCAATATTCGTCCACCAGGGTTTGAACATGTGCTCAACGAGTTCCTGTTCATTGAAAACCATGACAATGAACAAGGAACCCCCGGAAAGAATGTCATCGCGGGTGAATAACCAGCAACTGCAGATGAGAACCCCGAGGACGCTGCATCAACCTCATAACCAAGGTGGGCCCCTCAATCAAGGAATAATCGGCCCCAATCTTCAGGGTGGTGCTGAGAATTACTATGGAGGCGGGATGAACCAAAT